TTACTGGTAAAGAAATACAATTGGATTCTGGCCTAATGCAGTCAGTCCTTTGTTTCTGCACACTGAAGTCTTCATTAAAACCATGGAACTGCTCCCTGGAGCTGGTGACCTTTTTGTATCTAAAGAAGACTTTACACGACTTAAATTCTTTTTCCTTTGTTGGTGAACAATGTTCTTTTCTTCTGTAAATGGATGATGATCAGTTCATTCAGAGGCTACAGGATTTTAAAAAAATAATAGGAAACCAAGATTTAAAGTGACTTCAGGTGATTCCCTCTTTCTTGGCACAGGGGGACTTTAATCAGCATCTTCAGGATTTGAAATTCACATGTAGCTCTGAGCTAACCAGGCAACAGCAGTGTGGCCAGCTACTGTGCAGTGTATATTTTAAGAGAGGAAAGTTACCTGGTTTGGGACAAGATTAGGGTAAAGTATTGTGCTTTGCCCTGCTGTTTTGTAACTCCCCAGGCAGTTTTTGTCTTGGTACCAGGTCGTTTTAAGTGTCTGAAGGTTAGTGGATAGAGTTTCTTTTGAGATAATGAGAGGCTTGTCTTCCAGAAGTTTATACGAAAGGTCTAGGAAGACTGCAATTTTCAGTCTTGCAGTACTGCTGAGGGATTATCAATTTACTGCATGAAATGCTTTGATTCAGAGTGGCCATTTTTAGGTCACATAATTTTTTTGTCGTCATGATCATCATTGTTGCTGTTTTGAGACAGAGTCTTGCTCTGTCGCTCAGGTGAGCACAGTGGCGCAATCTCGGCTCACTGCAACCTCCGCCTCCTAGGTTCAAGCGATTTCCCTGTCTCAGACTTAGCTGGGATTACAGGAACACCCCACCCTGCCTGGCTAATTTTTGTATTTTTAGTAGAGATGGGGTTTCGCCATGTTGATCAGGCTGGTCTTGAACTCCTACCTCAGGTGATCCACCTGCCTGGGCCTCCCAAAGTGCTGGGATTATAGGCGTGAGCCACCACATCCAGCCTGGTCACATGTTTACTATCAACTTGTCTTATGTTAGTAATGAGGACAAAATTTTACTACTCAGTACGGCACAAGGATTTTTAAAAAGTATGAACTTTAAACCCTAATGAGAAACAGGTTTGATTTAGTGCTTCATTTAAAATAATATCTCGAACAGAGCATTGGTTTCGCTAACTATGGAGGTTAAAATATAACTCGTATTAAGTGACATTTTAAAATATGTACCATCAAAAAATATGTACTTAGGCTAATAAATCTTGTATATTTTACATGAAGATCTTATGTCCTACCATAAATCCCTACTCTGAAATGTTCTGCCTGCAAAGTTTTACAACATTTATTTATAAGATTAGTTTATTTACTTCATTACATGGAGGAGGGTGCTTTAAATAATAATATCTATCAGAAATGATAATTAATTTGACTTTTATCTGCTCTTGCAGTATGTGACTACTATGAGCACTTTTATTACCTTTTGAAGATAATATGACGGTTTCTTATTTGGCAAGTAGATGAAAGTAGAATGAGTAGAAACCAAAATGAACACCGTGTGTAGAACACACTGGCAGATTAAAACACATTGTTAACAAATTACCTGCTGGTTTTAAGGAAAAATATAGGTTCAATCAGTTAATGTTTCATTAAATCATTCTCATTCAGCAAGTTTTGAATGAAATTTTACTCATTACGAAATACATATTTGGCATGTCATAACAGAGAAATATTTACTAAACCTTTTTCTTCTGTGTAATGCTGCCAAATAAACATAAATAATTGCTTAATATTTTTCTTTAAAATGACAGTGTGGATTTAAATAGAAACGCTTATGGCAGAGGGTATTGCTTAAACTCAAATTTAGGCTTTTTTAACCAAGAAAAGCTAACATGGATGGTTGGTGATAATAACAGAGCCTCCACAGGTCCTGCAGAGTATCTGAGGTCAGGGCTTAGAGCTCAGACGAAAGCAGCTACAGACATTGTTGGCTCAAATCGAGAAATCAAGGTCCTGTGAAGAATCACACTTCAGTCCTTACCCCGGTCTTTGGAGGGATTCATCCGTTTCAAGGGGTTTTCCTTCTAAAGGAAAGACAGTAAGGAAGGTGACAGGCAGGGGGCCCTGGATAATGGAGGACAGGATGACTGACTTGAAGTGTACACTCCTACGCCTGTTCTTTTGAGCCTCCAAAACTACTATTCCGAAACGTGCTAATACTCAACAGAGGCAGAATGATCAGTCTTTAAAATGCAAAAAAAGCCGGGCGTGGTGGCTCACGCCTGTAATCCCAGCACTTTGGGAGGCGGAGGCTGGTGGATCACAAGGTCAAGAGATCGAGACCATCCTGGTCAACATGGTGAAGCCCTGTCTCTACTAAAAATAGAAAAAATTAGCTGGGCATGATGGCACGTGCCTGTAATTCCAGCTACTCAGGAGACTGAGGCAGGAGAATTGCCTGAACCCAGGAGATGGAGGTTGCAGTGAGCCGAGATTGCGCCATTGCACTCCAGCCTGGGTAACAAGAATGAAACTCCGTCTAAAAAAAAAAAATTGTTCATAGATTAGCTTAGGTATCATCTTTCTAGAGCATACCATGAAAACCTAGGCAGACACTCAGTCAAACCCTAGACCTGGTAATGGGTGTGATTTTTCTCTGGGAGAGGAACCTGAATGAGAAAATGATCAGGTAGCATAGGCTGTCCTAGACAAGGTAATAGACGTGTTAATATAAGCAAAGAACTGCGTCTCACAGCTCTAAATGGGCCCAAAGCCCATTTCTTAACCCATTCCCCTCTTAGCCTTTTTATCTCCTCAAACACATATCTTCAAAGAGTCTCGGGTTTTGGCCACTGAATGGAATTGTACCCTCAGTGTAGGGCCTTGCGGGGAGGAGGAGGAGCATCAAAGAGAGAAAGAAAGGATAAGTTGCAGCCACCCCTCTCCTGGTCACATGGTTTCTGTCAACTTCATTTAAAGGAGGAGAAATTACTTAGCTAGTTGGAGTCTTACAGTTGATAATTACAAAGAGTAAGTCAAGCTTTTATCTTTTAATCTGAAATAACCAGAATGATGGTTATTCCCCTCACAAGAAATTCTCACCATTGTGTAGATGGTTGTTCAGGTCTTGGTCTTCAACTGGGTACTTTTAAGAAAGGCCTTACATATGACTCTCGACATTTTTCGTTTCCATTTTGTAATTTGGAAACATCCTGTGACCAGTGACTTTTTGGTGCTTTTAGGGGGATATTGGCCACTTTATCAGCTTTGTACAAACCAAGTGACTATTTTACCATCTTTTCCATTTTTGTATTTTGCTGAGGACTTATGTTTTTGGTGGTACCCTGTCTGCCTTCTACATCCATTTCTTTCTCACCAGCCTAAAACAGAGATAATAGGGAAAGGGATGAGAACCTCCCTATCATTCTTCTTCATGGCTGGAGAAAAAAGAAGTCTGCTTCTTCATCTCTCTTCTCTGGCTTTTGAGAAGCGAGGAGGAACAGTCCAGCCCCAAGGCCAGGGGAGATTTGAGGCCAGTGGTTCCCGTGGAAGAGTCTCACCTTCTCATGTTCCCACATCTGTGCATCTCCTTGTTCTGGCCCCATCCTTGAAAGCAGTTGATTGTGCTCCTATATCCTTATGGCCTGGCTTATTAGAGCCTTCCAGAAGAAAACTTTTTTTTTTTTAAAGATGGAGTCTTGCTCTGTTGCCCAGACTGGAGTGCAATGGTGCGATCTTGGCTTACTGCAACCTCCACCTTCCAGGTTCAAGAGATTCTCCTGCCTCAGCCTCCCAAATAGCTGGGACTACTGGCACCTGCTACCACACCCAGCTACCAGAAGAAAACTTTCACACAGCCTACATAAGCTTATGTGCAAGATTCTCTCTTGAAACCCAGGAAGAGGCTGATATTCCAAGAGTGATTTAATTGTGGGCTCCTCTTGAAGCGGATGAATAGGAACAGCTATTTAAATTGATGTAATTTTATTATGACCTCCTTCATAATGGGTTTCAGGTTCCCCTGTTCTTGTAGTTAATAATGAGCTTCTGTGAGCCAGGTAACCTCGATACACAGATGAGATAATGTGGGGATTCACTGATGCAAAATCAGAGGCAATCCCTTCATAAGTAGAGGTGCCTCTGGCCCCAGTAGTTTAGATCTCCTTTGGACTAAAAAAAAGGGATGTCCCATTCTGACATTGGCAAGATTCTTCTTTTCTTTTTAAGACAGAGTTTCACTCTTGTTGCCCAGTCTGGAGTACAATGGTGCAATCTCGGCTCACTGCAACCTCCGTCTCCCAGGTTCAAGCAGTTCACCTGCCTCAGCCTCCCAAGTAGCTGGGATTACAGGCATGTACGACCATGCCCAGCTAATTTTTGTACTTTTAGTAGAGACAGGGTTTCTCCATGTTGGTCAGGCTGGTCTTGAACTCCTGACCTCAAGTGATCACCTGTCTTGGCCTCCCAAAATGCTGGAATTATAGGCATGAGACACCGCACATGGTGAGAGGTTTTAATCCTGGAAAACTGTTTTACCAATGGAGAAAATAATCCTAATTTATTCTTTAGTGCAAATCGGAAAATACTTTATAATTTTGCTTTGAAGCACAAACTTTAATCATGCCGTTAGTATTTTCCAGCATTACATGATTGATAATTAATTTCTATAGCTCTCTTGATGTAGACTTCCTCAAATAATTATACTCTTGTATTTCATGTTAAGCTAATATTACCAGGAAAGCAGTTTTAAACATCAGGCCTGTCTTTTTCATTTTCTTCTCAAGATAGCACATTGCAGCAGTTCTGTTAGTGTTCAGTGGTCTGGAAGGTATTTTGGAGCATGCTTTGTCCAGTAGAAAATTAATAGATTTGTTGTTTTGTAAACAGGCATTTGTAATGCTATAATGATTATCATGAGTTTTATTTTGTTAGATCTTTATTCTATTGTTGATGTTAGCATTGGACTAAAATGAATAAAATAAAATGTTAGCAATGGAATAAAATTGACTGTTTTGGGCACTTAGGAACCTGTTTTGTTCACTGGAACAATGAGGAAAAACTTGGATCCCTTTGATGAGCACACAGATGAAGAACTATGGAATGCCTTACAAGAGGTAATTGATAAAATGTAATTATCTTTAATTTGTTAGCCTCAGTATGTATATATGTACTTTTAAAGCACTGAAGGAAATCAAGGGGAGCTTAGTGGTTTAACTCACTTTGTTCACCACCCAGGAGATCATTGAGGATGTGGATATGCTGAAATGTGTATACTGATAATGATGAAAAACAAAAAGTCCCTTGTTCTCATTTTAATTTTCTTCCTATAGTCTGAAACAGTTTTGTGTTATTTTGTCTTCAGCAATGCATTAAACTAGAAGTTGTATTTATGAGTTGAGATTCTATTAGTGTCTAAGGTACTCTGCACCATTTATGTTACTGCTTTGTTCTTAGGGAACATCTAGTTAAGGGAAGACCATAGTAGTTTTTCATTAACTAAAAAATAAATGAGATCATCCTTATGAAATGCTTTGAAGTATTATAAGAAAGTGTTTATAAAGGTAAATTATACAGTTGGAATGGGATAATAATTATATTGGCCAACATGTAGTTTTAATGCAGGTAACAGAACCCTGTAGCCTTTGCTATGTTTTTATACTAATACGTTGATTTCTAGAGGATTTTCTGTTATTTTTGTGGTTCCCATTGGGCCACTTCTTGAAATCTTCTCACCTTTGCATGAAAAGGACTTTGGCGCTGTTGGTTTGTATATTTTATGTGTTTAGCCTAGTTCTACAAATTAGTGCCAGTCTACTTAATGGCAGAAACCATATCATAAAACTGGTTCTCCCTCATAGGGCCTAAATCAGTCTTTTGCTTTTAAAAAGAAAGCATTTAAGGCCAGACATGGTGGTTCACACCTATAATCCCAGCACTTTGGGAGTCCAAGGTGGGTGGATCACCTGAAGTCAGGAGTTTGAGACCAGGCTGACCAATATGGTGGAACCACATTTCTACTAAAAATACAGCAATTAGCCAGATGTGATGGTGTGCACCTGTAGTCCCAGCTACTCAGGAGGCTGAGACAGGAGAATTGCTTGAACCTGGGAGGGGGTGGTTGCAGTGAGCTGAGATCGCACGACTGCACTCCAGCCTGGGTAACAGAGCAAGACTCCGTCTCAAAAATAAATAAATAAATGCAAATTAAAATTTTAAAAAGTAAGCATTTAACAAGTATATATTAACATGTCTGATCTCTTCATTTCAAAGAAGTGTGGCTTTTTTTTTTTTTTTTTAAGTACAAATCCCAGCCTGGACAACATAGTGGACTTTGTCTCTACTAGAAATAAAAATTTAAAACAAAATAACCATATGTGGTGGCATTCACCTGTAGTCCCAGCTACTGAGGGAGTTGAGGCAGGAGGATCTTGTGAGCCCTGGAGGTTGAGGCTGCAGTGTGCCGTGATTGCACAACTGCACTCCAGCCTGGGTGACAGAGATTAATTTCTCTCCATTGTTAATTGTTGTTGATTTGAGTTGGTGCATTTGTCATTGTTGCCCTTCCAGGGATGGCTCTGAAATCTTTAATTTATAGATGGGTTTTGACTGTGAGCAAGTAGACTTGGAGGCCTGACAGTTTCCTGCCAGTAATCCTTGTTTCTGAAGGCATGTCGTTGCCGAGTCCTTACACATCCACCCTGCTTTCCAGCAACTGTGGGGATTTTCTTTTTCTAAATTAGGTCAATTACTTCACCTCCTGATACCTGATAAGCAGTTGACCTCTGATTTCATTTAAGTTTGTGAATCTCTGTACAGTGAAATTCTAGGAGAAAAGAGGTGGGTACATTTAACTGTCAGACATAAAGAAAGATAAGGCAAGCCCCTACTCCTAAACTCTCAGGAGGAATTTATTAGTGAAATTGTGACACATCCTAAAATAACAAGAATTACTTATAAAGTATTTTTCTATTTGCTTCAGACCTTGAGATGTCTTGTCACAGATTTTCTTGGTAAAATTACTTTTTAGAAACACATTTCTCTATGAACAGTGAAGAAATGTTAATTGGGAGACGATCCTATCAAAAACCATCATGGAACTTGGCTATAACTCATACTTATTTCATTTGTTATGGCCAAAATTAAAATAAAATTTAGGAGCTTCTCAAGAATTCTAGAAATGATGAGGTGGAAGAAGTGGTAGGTCCCCACAGAAGTGAGAAATCATCCCATCATTGTCTTTCTCTGGGAATTAGTTCTTTCTGACATTGTAGGTTTCTCTGTGAATGATTTGGAAGAGTTTCTAAAAATTAGAGTACAACACTGTATTTTCATTGTAATTCCAGCTGTTTTTAATCATTCCTGAAACCTGACCTAAGAAAGTCACCAGAGCATTCACATTGCTTGTTTGCGGGTAATGAGAGAGACTGGAGGAACGTGTTTCTTTTCCCTTTGGTTTTTCTGAGCTTTCCAAATGTCCTTCTGGCTGCTTTTATTCTTTTATCTTCTGGATGGTTGGGGAAAAAGCTGAGCACTCCTACTGGATGAAGCATTGTGGGTTTTTCACAGCAAATTTCATAATTACAAGTTGATGGAGGCTGGGGTCATTCTGATAGGTCAGGGATTCTTCCCCTGGGGTCCATGGAGTCTGAGGGTCTTCTCGTAGAGAATTCTGAACCTCACTTCCTAGTGATTGTAAGCATGAAGTTATGTGTGTGTTTACCTTGACAGATGTCACGCAGGGGATTCACACGGTGACTCCGGTGCCATTCAAGTTCTTCTGGACTTCCCTGTCACATTCTGTCTCTCTGCTGGCTCTGTGGCTTTCATCTTTCATTGATACCCAATTCAGAATAGGATAACTCATCCTCCTCTTCAGAAGGAAACCTGGTGTTATTTGGAAACTCCCTTTAAAGTAGACAAAAAATATAGTCACTGGGTTTATAAATGAGGCCAAATTGGAAATGGGAACCCAAACTCATAGGGTTGGCTTGAGATTAATTAGGATAGAGCTATCGGTTTCTTCCTCTTTAACAATGTCTTATAAAAGGTAAAGATGTCTTTTATTTCTTTGAAGTTTTTTTTTATTTCTTTCTCCTCATTCTCCCTTGGAAAGGGTAATACCAGAGACACAGAGGAAGATCTGGCATTTGGAGGGAGACAGTCCTATGGATGTGGTCATGTCATCTTGGTTATTTTTATTTGTATTTATTTATGTTTTTTTAGACAGAGTCTTGCTCTGTCACCCAGACTGGAGTGCAGTGGCCCAATCTCAGCTCACTGCAAACTCCTCCTCCCAGGTTCAAGCAATTCTTCTTCCTCAGCCTCCCGAGTAGCTGGGATTACCCACCTTGCCTGGCTAATTTTGTATTTTTAGTAGAGACAGAGTTTCACCACATTGGCCAGGCTGGTCTCAAATTCCTGACCTCAAGTGATCTAGTGATCTTCCTGTCTGGGACTCCCAAAGTGCTGGAATTACAGGCATGAGCCACCACACCCAGCCAGTTTTTTTTTTTTTTTTTCTAATGCTGAAAGTTATCGTAAATACTGAAAAATAGTCAGCTGTGAATGGAAGAAAATTTACTAGAATTAGTGCCAGTTTGGACACCTAACAGCAACTCTATAAATAAAACACAAGTAATGATGAAAGATTGAAGTCGTTTATGAGAAAAAAGCCAAAAGATCACAGTAGGTACAACTAAGAAAATTTTCTGTTCATTAAAAAATGACTTTAATACCACGATCTGCAATTAACACTAGGTTATATCATGTTGGAATGGTGGAGAATCATCTAACCATGTTCAGCATTGATAGAATTGCTACTAGAATACAAGAATGTCTGGTGTTCGGGACACCATGAGGCAGAAATCCGCACATCAGCAGTGTCCTTCTCCTTTGGGCCTTGTCTTCTCCATTTTTCCTGGGCCAGGAATAATCCAGAAAGGGTTCCTGCTCACTTCATTCACCTTTGGCTCTGCTCTTGTTAAAGCTTGTTCCCATCTGTTGAGTTGCTGTTTATCACATTTCAGTCTCTGGCATCAGAGACTTCCTATATGAAAAGTCAGAAAGTTCAAAAAAACATGGAAACAGAAGCTGACATCCATGTGAGTCTTGAGGCTTTGAAAACATTTATGATGATAGAAATGGGCTGTCTTAGAAAGTTCAGTTCATTATTTTCACTTTTCCTATAGTTTCCTGTGTTTTCCAAGCTTAAAAATAATGTGATGTACTCTGTTTGAGATGTGTAATTTCAAGTAGTATGATTTGATCTTGTTTTCCTGAAATTACAACCTTTTTAAAATGTAGAAAACATTAAGTTTTTGTATTTTAAAATATAACATTATGTTATCTTGGAGCCAATTAATTTTTTTTTATCTCTGAGCCAATTAATTTTATAAGGACTATAGCTCATTTACAATGACGTTTAGTAAGAAAATTGTATTGTATGTAAACTCTATTTCTGTGTGGATTTATTTTCTAATTCATAAGAATAGACATGTCACACAAAATGAGGTGTCCTTGTGACTTTTTACATTCAGCAGATGTATAAAGCTGTAAGGAGGTTTTTACACAGGCACTGTAGACTCTGGAGCTATCGCAGTCATCAAGAGAGATAAAGTCCCTACCCTCTTAGACCACAAATTCTTGTATGGATGATAGAAAATAAGAAAATGTATATGTAATGGAATATTAGGCACTGGTAAATGCAGCGAAGAAAAACACAGCAGTGCATGAAGAGGAGAAGCTGACCGCATCATTAAGAATGGGTAGTATTGGGCCGGGCGCGGTGGCTCAAGCCTGTAATCCCAGCACTTTGGGAGGCCGAGGCGGGTGGATCACGAGGTCAAGAGATCGAGACCATCCTGGTCAACATGGTGAAACCCCGTCTCTACTAAAAATACAAAAAATTAGCTGGGCGTGGTGGTGTATGCCTTTAATCCCGGCTACTCAGGAGGCTGAGGCAGGAGAATTGCCTGAACCCAGGAGGCGGAGATTGCAGTGAGCTGGGTAACAAGAGCGAAACTCCGTCTCAAAAAAAAAAAAAAAAAGGGCAGTATTTCATTGTTCAGAAAGTAGCAAAATAAACAAAAGAAAAGGAATAGACAGTATGTATAGATCTCTTATTTTGTATCAAGCACTGTTGTAAATGCTACACATACTGACTCATTTTATACTCCAACAATGTTAGGAGATAAGCATCCTCATAATAATCTCAGCATGGTCTTATTTACAAGTAGCTTAGGAAGCTAAGATAGAGAAAGTTCAGGAACTTGCCCAGTTGGCAGAGCCAGGCAGGACTCACACCCAGGCTGTGAGTCTTCAAGCCTCCATTTTTTAAAAATTTCCAAATCACAGAACAGTCAAATGAATAGTATTATGAACATACACACATCCTTCTCCAAGATTCACCATTTGTTAATACAGTATCTTGCCACGTTTGCTTCCTGTCTTATAGCCCTTGTCAGTAAGTTGCAGACATGTCCATGAAGTTGCAGTTCGTCCTTAAATAGGTGTATGTACCTCCTAAGAACAAGGACGTTCAACTGTATAACATAATACAGTTATTTACCTCACTGAAGAAATGGGAGAGCAATGTAATAGCATTGTCTAATATATTACCAGTGTCCCCAGTTGTCACTCTTAGTCACTGTGTTCCACTGCTTCCATTGTCTTTTTCTCAGTGCTAATACTTACCAGAACTTGAATGTCTGTTAACACTACCGAGGACCTTCACATTCATATCATTCTTTTTGTTTGTTTCTTTTAATTGAGACAGAATCTCTCTCTGTCATTCAGGCTAGAGTGCAGTGGCACGATCTTGGCTCACTGCAACCTCTGCCTCCCAGGTTCAAGTCATTCTCCTGCCTCAGCCTCCTAATGGGATTACAAGCGCCCACCACCATGCCCAGCTAATTTTTTTTTTTATTATTAGTAGAGACAGGTTTCACCATGTTGGCCAGGCTGGTCTCGAACTCCTGACTTCAGATGATCCACCTGCCTCAGCCTCCCAAAGTGCTGGGATTACAGGTGTGAGCCACCCTGCTCAGCCACACATTCATATCATTCTCATAGCCATCCCTGATTCAATCACGATGACACTGTTTTCTGGGAATTGTGTTCATTGTTCTTCACCTCTGAACCCTATTCTTCTTCCAGTCAATGTGGATACCCTGAAAGAGGGTCAAAAGCCAGAGAGTGATGGGATGGCACCTTAGTCAAGGGCAAGTGTGAGATTATTTCTTCAAAGTCATCCTTGTAATGGAGAGGGCTTGACCAAGCTGACGCAGTCCATCCTATAATTTTCAGGGCACCATTTTGCACCAAGAGCCAAATACTGCGCTTTGGATTTTGTTTAATTTTCTACCTTGCATGCTAATGCCAAATATCAATACCATATTTAATCTTAACTCAGAATGCCTGCTTCTTGGAGTTAGACTTCCATCGTGAGTACAACTCAAGATCCCATGCATAGAAGTGTCCTTCCATATTTACCCTTGGCTTTTTGTGGTTTGGCACTGTAATTCTGTACACCTGCTTATTGGCCATCACTCATCAATCTGCTTGCTGATCTCTTAATTGGAGGTGTGTTGACCGTTTGTTCTTCAATGTCACCTGAGTCTGGCTCTTGTTCTATAAAATTTCTCCAAAACAAACATCAGTGAGCCAAACCACCACCTAATGTAGTATCAGATCTACTCAGTATAGTGTCAGATCATCTTATAGCTACAACCTTATAAAGATACATTAATATCAACATCATCTATCCCCATCATCTGGGCAAGATGTATCCTGTTTTTCCATAGTTTTTATTCACGGCAAAACATTTGTTAGACTGAAGAAAATGCACTGACCAGCTCTAGCAATAGGGGCTTACACTTGGGAAAGGACCAGCCCGAGAATAACCTCCTGATTTCTTAACAAATGAGGCATGGTCTCCCATTGTTTGCATTTGTATTTTTTTTTCCCCAGTTGATTAAAAAACCTTCCAAAATGGTATCGTGCCTATAAAATTATATCTTTGGAGGACTATCCTTCCTGCAGTAATTTTCTTTTTAAATTTTCACTTGAGTTATACTCACTCCTCTCCAAAATGTACTTTGGGAAACGACCCAACTAGAAAGATCCTTTCACCTTTCCTTCAGGCTCTATATTGGGAGCAAGAGCTTCATTTTTTGAGAAACTTCCTTCCCTCCCTGGAAGAGGGGTTGTTGGTGGCTGTCTTGTTGGTTGTTGGTAAGGAAGTTCAGGTGCTAGGGGACACTGATAGGATTTTTTTCTGCCAGCTCTATGGAGGCCTAATTTACGTACCAGAAAATGCTCCCCTTAGAAGTGATTCAGTAGGGCCGGGCCCGGTGGCTCAAGCCTGTAATCCCAGCACTTTGGGAGGCCGAGGCGGATCACGAGGTCAAGAGATCGAGACCATTGTGAAACCCCGTCTCTACTAAAAATACAAAAAATTAGCTGGGCACAGTGGCGCGTGCCTGTAATCCCAGCTACTCAGGAGGCTGAGGCAGGAGAATTGCCTGAACCCAGGAGGCGGTGAGCCGAGATCGTGCCATTGCACTCCAGCCTGGGTAACAAGAGCAAAACTCCGTCTTAAAAAAAAAGAAATGATTCAGTGACTTTGGTAAATTTGTTGAGTTGTGCAGTCACTGCAGGAATCCAGTTTTTAAACATCTGTTACCCCAATAAATTTCCATGTGTCCATCCATTCACAGTTAATCCTCCAGCCCTTTGGCAACCATCATTCTTTTTATCTCTAAATTTCGGTAATCTTTCAACTAAAAATTACGAAAGGATTTTAAAAAATCTTTCTGTATTTTACCTACAGAATAATTTTACTTATCATACTGTGTTTTTCTTAATGAAGTTGGCCCAGGCAGTGTTAACACATGACCCAGCATGAACAGACTGTGCTCACTGATGGTGACAAAGGAGCACCTTGGGTCCCATTGTTTGTTCTCTTAAGTCAGAATATTTCTGTTTTGTGTTGACTCTACCATCTTTCTCATTGAATATTAACTAGAGGTAATTCTCGGCCTCATGTGGGTGTCCATGTAAGTTATATCTTTCAAGAGAAGGAAACTGAAAGCTCTAATGTCTGTGAGGCTCAACTACTTCCATAGCAGCTTGAATGATAACTCATTCTTTGTACATCTACAGGTACAGCTTAAAGAAACCATTGAAGATCTTCCTGGCAAAATGGATACTGAATTAGCAGAATCAGGATCCAATTTTAGTGTTGGACAAAGACAACTGGTGTGCCTTGCCAGGGCAATTCTCAGGAAAAATAAGATATTGATTATTGATGAAGCGACGGCAAATGTGGATCCAAGGTACAAAGCCGAGGTCCATGTCACCTTGAGCCCACATTTTTAGTGTGTAAATGGGAAACACGGGATGATTCTGAGAAATATTTCTAAGTGCTCTGTTTGCCGCAGAGATAACATTTTAACATGGATGGTTCATTCTGAAAAAACAGAGGAAGAAACCCCAACATGCTTTCCAGTGTCAGTGATATTACTTAGTATCCCAGGAGAGCTGAGATTCCTAAATTCCACTCCTGATACTCAGTTTTAAGCAAGTTGGAGGGAAGATATTTTTCATTGTTTTATGAAAATTAGTAAATTACTACATAGACTTTTTTTTTTTTTTTTTTTTTTTTTAAGACGGAGTCTCTGTTGCCCAGGCTGGAATACAGTGGCGTGACCTCGGCTTACTGCAACCTCTGCCTCCTGGAAAGCTCCCTGGGTAGCTCCTCCAACCTCAGCTTCCTGAGTAGCTGAGACTACAGGCGTGTGCCACCATGCCCAGCTAATTTTTGTATTTTCAGTAGGGACAGGGTTTCACCATGTTGGCCAGGATGGTCTTGATCTCCTGACCTCGTGATCCACCCGCCTCGGTCTCCCAAAGTGCTAGGATTATAGTCATGAGCCACTGCACCCGGCCTGTGTAGACTTTGTATACTTGTTTTTAAAGAGTAAGATTGCCCTAAAACATGTTAACATGATTTTTAAAACCTTGAATATATATGATCTTTAAAAAAAAATAACTCTGTTGTGTAGTAGACCTTTTTAAGTCTTAAGTCTACTTTTTGCGTCTTTACTGAATTAAACTTCTTTAATTGCAGAACTGATGAGTTAATACAAAAAAAAATCCGGGAGAAGTTTGCCCACTGCACCGTGCTAACCATCGCACACAGATTGAACACCATTATTGACAGCGACAAGATAATGGTGAGTCCTTCACCTGCGGAAATTCAGTTGCTCCCAATTATGTTCACTTTTTCAGTTTATTCCCTCCTTGTAAAACTTGATAGAAACCCCTCGTCAGTTAATTTTCTGTTAATTTTGGCTCTCATTCCCAACAGTAATTCATATGCTTAACTACACCCTCAGCGCTACTAGCAATATATCCATTGTATCTCTTTGCATATGATTATGTTGAAAGTTTACCATGAAAATATTTCAAATCTAAGATTCAGCTTGTGATGCTAACTTTCGTATTACTAAGTAGTGTCAAATAGAAGATCACTGTCACAGTTGTTTCAGCATGCTCGATTCCCTTAATGAGAGATTTACGTTTTCATATACTGTGAAGGGCTTGTTGGGTAAGGTTGCAGAACTCAGCTGTTGGGACGTTCACAAGATGTGTGTCACAGGGGAAGAGATGAGAAGATCCGTCACAAATTATTTTCAGAGAGGGCCTAGCCGGAAAAACAAATGACTGCAACGGAAAGGATTTAACATGGAAATGTGTTTCATAGGTATTGGAGGGCTTAGAAAATGAAGGGAAACAGTGATCATTTTAGCAAGCAAGGCCAGGAGCGGTGGCTCACACCTGTAATTCCAGCATTTTGGAGGGCCGAGGAGGGCAGATCACTTGAAATCGGGAGTTCGAGACCAGCCAGGCCAACGTGGTGAAACCCCATCTCTACTAGTAATACAAAAATTAGCTGAATGTGGTGGCAGCCACCTGTAATCCCAACTACTTGGGAGGCTGAGACAGGAGAATCGCTTCAACCTGGGAGGCAGAGGGTGCAGTGAGCTGAGATCACGCTACTGTACTCCAGCCTGGGCAACAGAGCAAGACTCTATCTCAAAAAAAAAAAAAAATTTTTTTTAAGAAGCAGCTGGTACAGATCTTCCAGAAGAGAGGCCCGAAAGAGTTCATGCTCAGACCTCCTAAGAGGGGCCCCTGGCAGCTGCCAGTCTTGTCAGTGAGAGCTCCATGAGGCAGGTTCCCGGTGTGCTAAGAGGAGGTGGAGCCTGGAGGCTGGGATGGTGCTGGCAGGAGTAGAAGAAACCAGGAAGGAAGACCGTTTGCTTGCATCCCGCTGCATCTAGTGTCTGCTACTGACCAGAACCTCTAAACTGACTGCCCCAGCATCATAGATCAGAGTGTGGGAAGGTAGATCTGGGGCTGAGAGACGAGATAATTAACCAGCATGTCCCTTACACAGCAGACCCATGGCTGCACACATGGCAGGCTCCAACCTTTGGTCTCTGAATTTTTTTTTCTTTTTTTTTTTTTGAGACAGAGTTTCACTCTTTTCACCCAGGCTGGAGCGCACCGGTGCCATCTCAGCTCACTGCACCCTTCACCTCCTGGATTCAAGCAATTCTCCTGCCTCAGCCTCCCAAGTAGCTGGTATTACAGGCATGCACCACCTAAGTTTTTGTATTTTTAGTAGAGATGGAGTTTCACCATGTTGGTCAGACTTGTCTATTTATAGCTCCTGACTTCAAGTGTCCACCTGCTTCAGCCTCCCAAAATGCTGGGATTTTAGGCATGAGCCACTGTGCCCGGCCTGGCCTCTGAGTATTTGTCTAGTATCTTCCCTCCAGGTTTGATTGGCTCTTTCTTCCTTAGCCATTATTTCCTTCCTTATTTTATTCCTTCCTTCCTTCTCTCCCTTCTTTTTCTCTTTTTCTCTCTTCCTACTTCCTTGATAACTTGTTTGGAGGTTCTGGCAGAAGAGCGCAGCTACTTGGATACCCTTGGCCGAAGACCAATCCTCCCCTATCAGGGATGATCATCCTCTTAGGTAGATGGTGTAGCTTCTGGAGGGACGCACAAGGAGTTGGTGAGGAAGGAAGAGGACGCCTGCTAGCCAGCCAGGTCAGCCGAATCAACCCTGGTGATCAGTGGGGTGACGGATGTCGCAGCCAGATTGTTCTGACATCCATCTTTTTCTCTCTTTCTACTTCTCTTTCTTCTTCTCTCTCTAGCTCTCTACCCCCATTTCTCTTTCTCCTTTTTCTTTGTGTCTTGCTCATTTTCAGTCTTAGCATTTGGCTTTATACAATGATAAGGGAAACATTTTTCAAAGGAAAAACCTTTGGCTGCAAATAAGCCCAAAGGAATTCATATTAATTTCAGGCTAACCTCTAGCCTTTGGCATTGGGCTGATTTTCTTCTATCGTGTGGATCCTAACCGTTGTCACTGGTGATGCTCAGATTGATGACAGAGGGAAGTAGATTAACAAAGGCCTGCATAGTGTGTGAGAAGCAACGGATAGACTTGACGCCATAATATTGATGGTCCAAGCCTAACAGATTTGTAAATCATCTGTGATATCCACACCTCTTACGCCCAGTGATGCTGGTGCTGTCTCTTTTGACTTCTTGGGCAGTTTCTAGAATATTCTCTTTCACCCTACCTCACATGCATCATCAGATTAGTGACCAGTGGGACATTTGAGAAAATACCACCCTGTCAGCATTGAAGCAATGTCTGTGGCCTTGGATGTGTGCAGGGATGAGCTCTGGTGTGCTACGTAACAGGAGTGGAGGGTTCCAACCTAAAGGCTGGTTTACACTTCAAACACTGGGGCTGGTCTGGACTACAGCATTGCAGTAACAGGCCACTCAAGCTGACTTTTTTTTCTTTGAGACGGAATTTCACTCTCATTGCTCAGGCTGGGGTACAATGGCGTGATCTCAGCTCACCACAGCCTCTGCTTCCTGGGTTCAAGTGATTCTCCTGCCTCAGCCTCCTGAGTAGCTGGGATTACAGGCATGCGCCACCATGCCAGGTTAATTTTGTACTTTTAGTAGAGACGGGGGTCTTCCATGTTGGTCAGGCTGGTCTTGAACTCCCAACCTCAGGTGATCCACCCACCTCGGCCCCGACAAAGTGCTGGGATTACAGGCATGAGCTACCATACCTGGCTTGAGCTGACTTTTGTAAGTGACCACGTGACAGTCCCAAGATAGCAGAACAGTGACTCCTTAGATCCAGAAACATTATTTAGCATTTAGCATCCTTAGGCCTTTGTTTGTCTTCCTGGAGTTGTGTTCTTAAATGGTAAATGGAGAAATCACCTTTTTATGAAGCAGGTCCTCTAAGAACTAGTCATGGTGGAGGACTCCCTCTGCATGGAGGACGGCAGGGATCATCCTCATGCCAACCCCCAGGAATTGGAGTCTAAACAGTTCCACCCACTGCACCCCAGGCTGCACTATTACCAATGCCTGAGTGGAGTGGGACAGAGCACACTTGCATATAGCAGTTACATAAAGCAGGGTTATTCTTACAGATAGACACCAAGAGACAAAAGAAGCACAGAGCTTTGGGAGCTGGTCCCCACAGGTTCAAGGAAGCTGCCCAAGGCAGATGGAGTCTTGACTGCACATGTTCCACTTGCACCACAGCTGAAGGACCCCAAAAGGCAGCCTGCTTCAGGTTACATACCTCAGAGGCAACATGACCTACTGGGGAAAGCTTTGAGGGTCATCCTCCTCCCAGAGGAGAGAAGAGCAAAGCACGAGCTGTCTGGGGCACTTCTTCCTTAGCTGTAGATGTTACATTCCCCAGAAAGGACAGAAAGAAGACCCAGGCTGTTTTAGGCAGTTCCTTCCTATCGCAGGATATTGCATTCCTAGCACAATCTAGAGTTGAGAACTACAAGCAAGAACTTGGGTCAATCCAAAACCGCGTGAGACCTGTCCTGCGCATTCGTCGCTACTTTTTACCTGTCACTTTGTTGTTCTTGTCTCTAGGCATTGTATTTTACAGACTGTTCCAGAAAGCATCCTACTTTCACAGCAAGCAAATGGTGCTCTAATGTTTCCCTGCTTGTTGAAATACTTGGCCAGGCGCTGGATGCGTTAGCAGAAACATGACTACGTTGCCAGCTCAGTTGCGGGCCTGTTCAAAACAAAATCTTTGCTCCTAAATGTATCATAGAGACTTCTTGTTGGGATTTGGTGTTACAGCATTGATGATAGCTACTCCTTTTCTTATCTAAGGCTTGGAAGTGCTGTCAACTTAGAAGGTCTTATTAGTTAGGGAGATAGCAAGCAAGGACAGAATTTGACAGACAGGTCAATTGGCCACTCCTAAATCCGATCAATCATCATCAGACCACATAAATGTCTAGTTCACAAGCATTTCCTTGACCCATCAGCGCTGTTAACATCATTGAAATGTGCCCATCAGTTTATTGCTTTATATACCAATCCCTCTAGGTAAATTTTGAGAACCTTATTTTTTTTTCTTTCTGGATTAATATCTCTATCTAAACTCTCAACATGGTTCTACAAATCAATTTACAATCAGCCTCTCCCTACCTTTCTAGCCTTTCCCCACTCTGTCCTCTCTCTTCCCTTTATAGTAAAAGCCATGGTCTTTTGGTTACTGTGCTTCAGTTCATCAAATGCAGTATTCTACACCATGCACAATGGTGGCTTATTATGGTGTGAGCAGTGAAGATGGTTCAGTGGATGCATTTGCAGTAAATAGTGTAGTAAAGCAACTGGACTGTGATGGATCGAATGTGGGATTTGAGGGAAGACAGAGGGAGTCAGTGCTGGTTTCTCGGTTTGGGACCTGAATATCTGGATGAATGGGGAAGACCCAGCGGAAGTAAATTTGGAGAAGAGAAAGGCGAGTGTTCTTACTGTGGAGGCTGTGACTGTTGAGATGACCTTGCATTTCAGCATGGACCTTTCCTTCTCACTCCCAACTCCATTAATGCCTCCATCCATGCAGATCTCTGCAGTGATATTGAGAGATCTTCCATTTAGGGCTCCCTGGCCATGGGGTCATCAGTGACACCACAGGAAGTCTTACTAGGAGGTGTACATTTAAGCAAGGAGTCTTATTACAAGCTCTGAGTTCTATGTGACAACTGTTTTCCAATTTTTCTTGATAGGTAGTGGCGGGATTCAGCTTCAGGGAACCCAAGAGACATGCATTCTTTAGCTTTAGAGATTGGGAACTGGCCTCTAT